CATCCACAGCCTCTCCCTCATCCACCAATGAAGAACCATAGCGGTGCTATGTTCACTGACAACTGTTAGAGAAATAAAGCGGGCAACCTAATCTAGACAAATAAGTACTTGTGATTTAATTTTTAGCAAGAAAATGGCAGTTTTGCTGGAGTCCTATTCCCTAGAACAGGACTACAAACACCAGAGTAGAATATCTATTAAGTTAGACATATTTTTCTCGAAGGTTTCCCAACAAGGCCTAACTCTGTATCTGAAACTTGGAGACAGGTTTATGAAGTCTGTGATACTTTTCAAGTGATCACTCTGTCTCAGGACACACATGCCAACTCATGCCATTTCATTGTTTACAGCCCAGAATAGAAAGGAAAAAGAAAAGGAAAAAAAAAGGGCTCTTGGGAGCCTCTGCATGCTGCCTTGGAATCTTTGTTTCCAGTTTTCTCCTTCATGTTAACAGCTATGAACCCAGCCATTTTGAACATTTCCAGCTAGAAAAACTGTCTTTTTTTACAATGTTAAAAGCAGCACAACAGAAGCATGTCAGAACCCTACAGATTAAGAACGGGCCATACAGCATGAGGGCAGTTCAAATTCTTGGGACAAGGACTACCACTTAACTGGGGGGGAAGGTGGCAGAAAGTACTGAGCTCTGGAAATGCCTCAGGCTCCCTGGGGAAGCAGTATGGCTCCTACTTAAGCTCCTTTTCCTGGGAAGCTCTTAAATTATGTTTACACTGAAATAAGTGGAACAAAACAGTTTATTTGTGGGGGAGCATCTGAGAGGGTGGTTAGTGCAGCCCTGGGGAGGCAGCAGGAAGTGGGATAACCTCACAGCCAGGCCCAGCAGAAAGTACATAAGGAACATTAGTTTCCACAGACGCAGTTCAGAGGAATCTGGAGACAACTGAGGGAAGAAAACAGAGAAGCCAAAAAAGAGGCAGTTACAGTTTTTTGGTGTGCTATTATTGATATTTCTGGAGTTACTTATAAACACTTCAACTAAAACTATTATTTAAGTCATAAACTCCCCATGCATGCCCAGGTTCTCCACCTTTGAACAAGGGCATCAGAGTCAGTCAAAAGAAGCTAAGGTCAGAGAGGTAGCTGGTTTGGTAGATAGCCATCAGCCATGGCTCCTCCTCAATTTTTGACTGTCTCATCATCCTCAAATATCCAAAGATGATAGCACTTATGTTAGAGTGTTGAAAGCTGCAGAATTATCAATACCCAGGTGCAATGCAAGGACCACACAAATGGATTCACAGCTAGTTTAAATGTAAGTCCCAACACAAACACAGGAGAGCTTAAGCCAAGCTTGGTCTTTGGTTTAAGCACAGACTGAGATTAATTCTACACTCATTTCCCCTGCCCCGAGACTCCATCTTTGTGCATGTATCCACACAAGCAAAGGGCAGCTAAGAGCAGGAGGAGGCCTCTTTAGGGAAGGTTGGGAAGCAGCCACTGGAAAGTGGGAGAAGGCACACTGTGGTACCAGCCGCTGATTTCTGGACGTCATCCCAGCATCTGCTGCCAGCAAGTTCTCAAGTCCCTTTGCCAGCACACAGCTCTGCATCCAGCCTCTGCTAGAAATAGGCTTCGACGCCACCATGTGGCACTCTCACACAAGCACAAGCCCAGAAGCGTTGACCACCACCGTCATTTCAGGCACTGTATTCCACGTTCCTCCCTAGTCCTCAGACACATGTAGGACAATAAATCAGAACTACATTGGGCTAAATGGGTCAGGACAAAAATATTAAATGCTCTAAAGAGATGTTTAATCATCCACAACCATCCTTTCCAAGGGCACTAGTGGGTCAGTAGCCAACTTTCCAGCACTTCTCTAGTTCCCTTTCAAGTCCCTCTTCATCATCCCTTTTTCTAGGATGAGATTCTGATGAAAGACAGTGGGACAGAAGAATCTGTGATTGAAATGTCCCCTGCCCTCACAGAGGTATACACTGAGAAAAAAAAAACAAAACAAAACAAAAAAACCAACACATACACACAGTACCCAGCTTGCTTGCAATAGGCAAATCACATTTGCACGTTTTTTTCTGTAGCATCAGAAAGCTGGAATTTTCAAACAGTACTCAAGAGCCAATAAATGAAGATGCCCCCAGGGCCTTACCAAAGCAGGTGCCACGATGTGAAAGAAAAGTTTTACATGCTGTGGCAATGGCCAGCTCAGCAGAAACTACAGTCTTGATAATCAGGTCCTCCACGTTGGCCATCAGTGCTGCAAGGAGGGGAAAAGGAGGAGAAAAAAAAAAAAAAAAAAAAGGAAAAAGTAGATTAAGAAGTAGCACATGATATCTAGAAAAGCATGAGAATATGCATATGGACAGACACCTTTGTGAGTGAAAGTATCTGACAGCCTATGGATGACAAAGCAATGACGTTTGGAAATCCATGCAAACACAAGTGCATAGACACATGCATAAGTATCCTAGTGAAAAATACAAATAAGAATGATAGAAGTGAGCATATATACAGTAAGTACAGTATTCTGCAAGTAAGCAGAAACATATCAGCACAAGTCAGCTGGAGTCTGACTACTGCCCACTCAAAGTATTAGGAAGTATTAAACAAGAGTGGGTTAGTGAGATAAGCCCTTAAACTACAGAGAATAAGCCATGGCCACTGGAAAAAACTACCAAAAAAAAAAAATTTTGTAGACTTTTATAACCGTTCTATGATGTTGCACCTTCCTCTAAAGTAGCTGTTCTCGTATCATGATTCACAAATCATTTCAAAACTATATGACTACTAGTAACAGCTCCCAGTCCTTCCAGTCCTTCTGATCTACAGATAATCTGCAGTTTCAGTAAAGAAGCTCCCTTCAGCTCCTGTATGAGCCTGCAAATAGAGCTCAGGAACAGGATTTTGAGCTGACAAAGGGAGCAAAAGGCAAGAACAGATGTACTTTAGATGTAGACCTGGATTCTACATGGTGCTTAGAATGAGTCATGCAATAATAGAAAGAATATCACACTTATTTTCTTTTTCAGGGACAAGGAATAGAGAAGTGAGAAGAAGAAAGAATGAAAAAACACTAGAGTCCCAGTGTGAAAAGTTAGTAGGGGTGATAGAAGAGCCTTCCCCACCCCTCAGCAGGACCACAAGGAAACACACAAGACCTCCAGCAAAACCACACAGACATTTGATAGTCCTTGTCCCAAAGAACATCTATTACAAACGACCTGACCAGAGAGTTCGATTCAGGCCTACCATTACTACTTCTCAGGTTCAGATGACGACATGCAGGGACCCAAATAATTACAGAGGAGTATGCAAGCAAATTCACTTGTGAACTTCTGCAACAGAAGACAACTAAGTGGAAGCAACACAGCATGGGAATGTCTAAGACACATAACGTCAGAGCACAAAAATCTTGCCGATCCTGACAAAGCCAGCACTTTCCACCCAGCACTCTGCCTCCCTATGACCAGAACCAGATACATCAGAGAAAGGTGCAAGAAGTCTTGTAATGGATAGTTAAAGAAACCTGTTTGCATTGCTCCAGTATTAAGAGTGCATATTGAGTTTTATACTTCAGGTCAGGGTGAGATGTGGAAACATATCAATAGAAGTAACTATGCATACACAGCTTACTGAAAACATAGGGTGCAAGTGATGGGACAGCCATGCATGCATATGATGGACAAAAAGTCTACTTCCATCTGAAAGCCAGATTCGAACCCATTTCTCCAACATCTAAGTATTCCCTGGCAACATTTGCAATATGGGCATAGCTGCTATCAGTAGTGTTACTGATGCCTCAGTATCGCAGGTAGTTTATCCCTTAAAGGATATACCCGGATTCTGCTCTGCAAATGCATTTACTTCCAGCAGACCTGGCAAAGGTGTGCAAGAGGGAGGTATTTTATACAAAACACAGATCGAAATGAAAACACTCAGCAAAAACCTGAGCCATGGAAAGATGACACCACATCCAAGAGTCATTCAAACTGGCACAGTTCTCCAGAGGTTGGTCACTCATCAGCCTGAACAGGCCATGGGAGCAGTAGAGGGAGGGAAGCTTTTAGAAGGGATGGAATGACCTTAAGAAATGGGAAATGTAGGTAAAATATTAAGAAACACACCCTGAGAAAGTGTCAGAATATTATTTGCCAAAAGGAATGGGTACATCTCGTCTTTGGGGACAGGACTCATCTCTGTGGATAGAGCAACTGCACAGCTCTAGTGAGTAAGCTGTAAGGAACAATGCTTCCCTCCACCCTGCTCTGGTGCTAAGTGGGACTCACTGGCCTCTTTGCTGACTTTTTAGGATCTACACTTGTGAGATGGTTAAGATCCAACAGAGGAATAAGAGAACAAGATCTGTACTGACCTGCCGTGTCTCTCCCTTCTTGTTTTAAGTACCTCAGCATTGCACTCATGCTCCACTTGTTTCCATAATCCTCTACTTCAGGATCATCACAGCTAAGAAAATGAAAGAAGCAAGTTGACACCACTGGCTTACCTCTACGGATTTGCATCAGCCTCAGACCAACTTAGGTAAATTGACCCAACCTCTAGTTCCATTTTCCAGCCAAGTACCTGACATAATCTCCACTCTTCTTGTTGACACTGTAGTTGGTCAGATGCATGAACTGGTTTTTAATATTTTGGGATGCCTGATCATACCTCACTGTTGCAAACCTGTAAAGAGGGATAAAGATTCACAGTATATCTTGAATAAGTGACATGCTTGCTAAATATGACCTGCTACACAGACCATAACACCAACAGCTAGGGAGAGAATGCATCTAATGAGACTTCACCAAATGCAAACTCTCCTCACAAAAAGTACAGTTTATCATCAAGAGTGACATCCAGGTACACGTAATCTCTTTTTCAGTGTCCATTTGTTCTCCTGGGGGTTTTCACAGCCTAACACTGTACACATCATGCTACACACATTTTTTCCCCAACTGCTTAGGTTTGTGGTCCTCAGGCATTCTGGCCAAACAGGCCACTTCACTTTAGACAGTCAATGTCACAGTTCCTTCAATATGACAACAGGACCTACCTAAGATCCACTGGTCCTGGGAAATGCACACATTCAGAGTAATCACATTACATACACAAGACAGCACAGTCAATATTTCCTGAGGTGTCATAAAAGCACAGCTCAGTTCTTGTATACTCTAAGAACGCCTTAGGAAAAGTTGAGGGTGGGAACAGATTTCTACCAACAACTACACGAGCCTACATCTCCCAGTTCTTTTTCAAGGGACATCCAGGAAACCAGATACAACATGCAGACCAAACCAATTTGTCCAACAAAGCAGCATCTGCTCCAAGATGCTGTCATTCTCAGGGGCTGCACAGACCTTCTGTACCTCAAAGATGTCACCTAACTGTGCCCAAGCAAAGAGACTCTTTCCTCAGCTATCTACCTTCATTTTACCTGCACAGTACTCACAATACTGGCACAATAGTTTGTCCCACACAGCAAGCCATCTAAAACAGCCATTTCTGCTAAGCTATTCACACCAACATCAGCTCAGCTCACTGCATGGGTACAGAAATGCCTGTGGTGACACAATACAATGGATATCACGGGCACCCAAATGAGCACAGGGATACAGCACAAAATTGCACTGAAGCAATTTCAACAGTAAACTTATCAATATCACACCTCTTTAAGAATTAGTTGAATGAATACTGAAGCAATATAAGCTTCTGGAGGAGGGGAAGGAGCTTCCTGCAACCAACTGCCAGTACAGTTGCCCACACTACCCCTCCATTCCAGTTTGCATTGTGCAGCCAGAGGGGAACTGATGACATACCTGTGCCAGGAAAGGAAAGGGTCAGCATGAGAACAGGAACAGTGGCCAGGAAGAGTACAGACCTGTCTGTCTTGAAAGCCATGGCAATTTAAAGTGTTTTAAAATAACATCTTGGGCAAAAGTTGCTCTCCAAAAGTGTAGATATGTGATCAGCCTCTGTCAATCTAAAGATGTGCTACAGCTGAAAGCTCAACACCTGGCTCAGTTTCACACCCCAGCTGCTCTGCTTGATCTGCTCCACAAACTACCTCACCACAGGTAAGTAAGATCACATCACAGCCAGTCGAGACTGAACAGCCAGTTGAGCAAATATAGAACAATGCCAATTAACTTTCAATCAGATGCAGGTACACCCTCTTTCAGACATAGCAAAGGAGGGTGTTAAGATACAGAATCAGGACATAAGGAGAGTAGTGCCTCCATTTCAGAAACAAGCCACAAAGCAACTTAAAAAAAAAAAAAAAATAACACTAAACAGAGTGTAATACTATTTGTGGTGACAGTTGCAAAACCCTATATCTAGGCAAGGATACAGCATCCAGTTAAATATAATGCAAGAGAATAGTTCCAGTTGGAAGGGACCTACAATGATCCTCTAATCCAACTCCAGTAATTTTTTTTATGCTGCATGTAATCAGTTCCTGTTTCAATATATATTTTGGGCCTCAGAATTCGGAGAGAAATAAATAAAAGACTGAGGGTAGAATCCAGGGCATCTGGTTGGCAGAATGACCAGTATAAGACACTGCTAACCACCACAGCTTCTAACAGCAAGCATGTTGTAGTTCATAAAAAACAACAATTAAAAAAAATAATAAGATAAAAAACACCTTCTTCACTCTTGACAGTCCTCCTAATACCACAACAGCTTAAGATTCCAATGTCTTGAAAGAGATAAAGGGGAGTAAGAAAGTGTAAAGGGGAAGTCAGATGTGCCATCCTAAAGAAGCCTTGTCAAGAGGGAAAGAAAGGACCAAGGAGATCAAGATTAGTTGCCAGAAAAGGAGAGTAGATTTGGGTGAAGCTTCAAAGCAGGAAAAGGGAGGCAGTACTCAAGAAAAATGGAAGAGGGAGAAAGGGAGGGGAATTTGGAGCATCTGGCTGTGTAATAAAGTTCAAGTCCAGAAAAGAATGTATCCCAAATTTGCTTTATTAATAGTCATCTCTCTTCATACTTCTCCTATTTTCTGTAGTTGAGAAGCTGGACTATACAAGGACATCTAACAAGCTACACACAAAAAAAATTCCTTCCTCTAGAAAGAGCTGCCAAAAAAAATTCTAATTTCTCAGTGAAAATGAAGCCACTACTGCCCTCACTTGGTAGCCATTTCAAAGATTATTCCTCTCTCCAGAGGAACTAGCAAATCCATGAAGATGCTTGTTAGACTAAATCTATCCTTAAATACACAGACAAGAGCAGGGCACTAAAAAAATTAAAAAGTTAAAAAAAAAATAAATAAAACCACTCCCTGGTGTAACTAACTCAAAGTGGCAAGGTCAAAAAAAGTAAAAAAAGATTTTGCACCATATTTTTCTAAGCTTTAACTAAATATGAAGTCAGAGCAGTTGGCAACAGAAAAGAATTTGGAAGTTTGGATCACCTTTCCACATACTTCCACAGCTTAAAGTATTTGAATTTCTTTTCAGTTTAACTGTAAATTTCCTGGATTAAGCACTTCTGTTTTGAAAATAGTGACAACAGCCCTATCATCTATTTTGTACTTAATTATTATTTCATTATCTCCACCTTCACAATCATTTATTGGCAGCATACTGAAAGCATTTATTGTTAATATGTTTTCAGATCCTAGAAGGTACTGAGCACAAGCAGCAGGCTACTTCACAAAGTCATGGCTCCCTCAGTACTTTGAAACAAAGGGCAATAAGGTTCACCATGTTTAGCAGCTTATTTTTTAAACTACGCACATAATCAGAAATATGAGGATATGAACCCCTGGCAGATGTAGACAATACTTCTAAACAACAGTATTTCTTCACTTTGCAAATGCTTGCATTAGCTTCCTTCTACCAAGACCATCCTTTAATAATTAAGCAGTCTGAACTCTGCGCTCACAGAATTTACATTTCCATGGGAAATGAATATTCAGAAGGGTTTACAATGTGTTCTAGAGATATCAGTATATAAACTTTGTCTTCCACTAAGATGCTGTCACCTTCAGAGATGTTGTGGCTTGTTCAGCAATGCATTAAAAACAGTTATTCAAATCTACTATAAAAAAAGTCTCCAAGCAACAGAATCAGATGCCATCTTCATCTTAAGTACTGGAGTACTGCATCCAGTTCTGGAGCCCCCATTACAAAAGGGATGTGGACCTGCTGGAGCATGTCCAGAGAAGAGCCACGAGAATGATCCGAGGGCTGGAGCAGCTCTCCTATGAGGACAGACTGAGAGAGTTGGGGCTGTTCAGTCTGGAGAAGAGAAGGCTCTGAGGTGACCTTATTGTGGCCTTCCAGTATCTTAGGGGGGCCTACAAGAAAGCTGGGGAGGGACTTTTTAGGCTATTGGGTAATGACAGGACTAGGGGGAATGGGGCAAAGCTGGAAGTGGGTAGATTCAGGCTGGATGTGAGGAAGAAGTTCTTCACCATGAGAGTGGTGAGACCCTGGAATGGGTTGCCCAGGGAGATGGCTGAGGCCCCATCCCTGGGGGTCTTTAAGGCCAGGCTGGATGAGGCTCTAGACAGCCTGATGTAGTGTGAGGTGTCCCTGCTCATGGCAGAGGGGATGGAACTGGGTGACCCTTGTGGTCCCTTCCAACCCTGACAGATTCTGATTCTGTTTTTGCATAGGACTTAGTAGTGTTGGCTTAATGGTTGGACTTGATGATCTTGGAGGTCTCTTCCAACCTAAGTGATTCTATGATTCTATGATTCATACATTCTTCAAGATGTATTCTCTCTCACAGGGAGATGGGTGCGAGTAGCTACAAAAGGAACCTACTCAACATCAGCACTTCTTAAGTTCTACTCAATATTCTTTTCGGGGAAAAATGAAAAAAAAAAAAAAAAAAAGAGCTTTGAGGTTAATATCCTTCTGAAAATTTTCATTTAAAAAAAGAAAAGAGAGTACTTCAGCCACGGCAAACTAAATGGTTATTCAGTACTTCCAGCACAAATCAAGCATCAATAACTGAAGGCTTTGTTATGTATCTCTGTGTACATACACTTCACATCTCCTTCAAAGGAAAGTTTTTCTTCTTTCCCACACATGGGAAGTGAAACAAAATTTACACGTTCTGGATCCATAATCCCTTTCTTCTCCTCACCAGTGAAGTCTCTAGATCATGTCATTACAAGTCTAGCTGTGACAAGAGAAATCAGGCCTAAGAAGTATCTAGTTAAACCTGACAAATGTGTATTATACCAAATCTGGTCCTTTTAAAGATCATCATACCTTATGTTTTCCTGATAGCACTCCTTTCTGATAGAGGTCACCAATTCTACTGAAACAGTCTGGTTCCTCTCCTTGCAATATGTGCAGTGTAACACTGGAGGAGAACATTAACTTTCAGACAGGCTAATAAAATGGGAAAAAGAAAACTAAGAGAACAACCCAGAAGAGGTCACCCTGACTACACTTCACAGACTCAAAACATGGAATTCCCCATAGTACACCACAAGCACTAGTAGAGGTCCTGCAATCAGATTCCTTTGTTCTGCTGACAGGTTTCTCCTTAGATAGCTCCAATGACACCTTTGATTCCAGACCCTGATCTTACCTCCCAGTTCTCTATTACAAATTGCCTCCTCTTAAGTAGCGTGGGTTTTTTTTCTTTACTAAAGCTTACAACCCCAAAGGTTAAAGCATCCTTCCCTACATAGCTAAAGTTTTTGCCAAGCTTTAAATCAAAACATTACACTGTGTGAAGCAATAAAAGGGTCTGTCCCAGCACTTAACTCATAGGTTAAATGGAAGATAAAAAGGCTAAATAAGAAACCAGAATCCAGTAGCTCCAGGTTCCTTACCTCTTGCCAACTGAATTTCCAAATCCAGGGTACAGGAAAAAGCCAGGTTGCTAAAACTAAAGACCACTAGTGCCATCTGGAGGCCATATAGGACAGCCCACCTAAAGCTTTCTGTCAACCTCTGCTCAAGCTTCAGGGTCATCCTCCAAAAAGAGATTGCTATCAGTTGCTACACAAACATAACAACCCTACAGCCACAGAAGGATGAAAAAGCTTAAGAGTAATTAAAGATATTGGTTGTAATAACTTTATGTCTCATGTGAAAGCATTCAACTACAAGTCTTGCTAAAAGCCTTTAGCTGTAGCTGACACTGAGGCTGAAATCATTCAGTGGGCAGCTGAAGTTCAGTAACAGAACTAGAGTTCTCCTCCAGAGTCAGGACTGGCCTTGGACCAGAGATAACTTCTCATTATTCCCTCTACACCAGTCCCACAGCTGTACTGGCACATCTCACCACATCAGAGCAGCATTAAGGTACCTAGTGCCACAGCCCCCATATACCAGCTACCTCCCTCTCCCAGGCACCTGTAAGATGGAATGCAATTTGAACAGAAGGCCAACTACAATTAATAATACTATGGTCTCCTGTACATGTGTGTTCCATTTGTCATGTATGGGGACATCATGTGCTATACATTTGGTCATAGTTTAAACAACAGGAATCTAAACACAGATAAGACTGCTACAGATTCTAGAACACTGACAAGTGATTTGCGAGTTTTACTCTCACATGTGATCTTACCAAGATGAAAAGTCCAGAATTGTTAAGACTGATGCTTCTGGATGGATACCCAGAAAGAAAACTTAATTTGTTGACAAAGTTATTTGTTCAGGGTTGACTACAACACTGTTTCAAACTCTAGAGGTGAATACTCTCAATGTTAAAAGAACAAAGAAATTAGCTAGACAGCATCCAGACTATCAAAACTCAAAGAAATTACACCACTGTTTCAAGAGACCTCAAAGTCCAGAAGCTACCAATAGGAGCTTCTGGACTGTTATCTTCCAGGAAGGTATTTCCAGGCACATGAGGACAAAATTATTTGGAACAGCAAGAAAAAATTTGCTGAGAGCAAATCACATCTGTTGCTTTCTGATTGCCTTCTAGGATTACATGAATGGTTCTGGGGACAAAGGGAGAGCAGTGGATAGCATGGCTCAAGATCTGAGCACTCAAATGGCTCCTGTAAAGCTAGTGGTATGTACTAGTGGAACCCTCTCAAAGAGAAGGATGGGCTAACAGAACCCTCATGAACTTTAGCCAAACCAAATGCAAAAGACTTGCACCTGGAAGGAATGTTCCTGTTCAACACTACAGCCTTGGTGAATAGGAAGTATCTCTGCAGAACAGCCAAGCAGTCCTCCTGGACAGGAAGCTGAACGTGGATTGTCAGTTAGGCTTTGCAACAGTGAAGGCTAACTGCATGCTGGGCTGTATGAACATGAGAGTAGCCAGTCAGCTGAGCACTCAGCAAGCAGTGGACACACCTGGAATATTGTGTCCAGTTATGAGACCCCAAGCACAAGCAGAATTATTGACTAAGCACTGCAACTCTGGCAGAGAGCTATTAAAATGGGTTGAAATACACGATGTACAAGGAGAAGCTGAGGAGAAAAAGATTGTTTAGCTTGTGGATAAGAAGGCTAAGAATAGATCTAGCTGCTGTGTTCAACTCCTTAATATACAGTTATAAAGATAGAGTCAGACTTTGCTCAAAGGTGCACAGAAGGTCAACAGGCAATAGTCAACTGCAACAAGGGAAACTCTGATTAGATACAGAACATGCGCATTCACAGAGATAATGGTCAAACATTGGAACAGGTTGTCAGGAGAGACTATGGCATCTCCATTCTTGGAAGATATTAAAAACTTTATGGTATAAGGCCACAAAGCACCTGCCCAAACTTTGAATGTCTTGTCTTGAGGAGGAGGTTGGACTGAAAACCTCCAGACCTCCCACCTAAATAGTTTGATGATTCTATCTTAAGGGATTCACTAGAACTGTCTGACCAGTCTATTTCAGTCAAAAGAATACACTTGTTTCTTTCTTCATTTCCTTCCCATGACCTCCAACTAGAATTGTTAAAAGAAAGAAAAAACCATGCATACACATCCCTACCTACACTTTCCCCCAAGCATAACATGTTACACTACTGGCAGAAACAAAAATGCTATCTCTCATGGAAACGGCACACTTGCCCCCAGAAAGACTACAACACTTGTCACCCGGGCAGATTTTTCCAGAGGTAAACTCTTTTGTTAAAACAAGAGCAGCAGAACTACAAATCCTATTTTGGAGGCCTGCTATGCACTGCCCATTTTCACAACATCCTAACAATCTGCTCATTCACAAACAAAGACCTTGTTTCCTTCTTCACTTTCCAATAACATACAATATCAGCTACTAAAACTTAATTGCCAATTCCCATGACTCACATGCCAGGCATGTTTAAGGCTCCTTTTCTAAAGTGAATAGAGTTGTCACATTTTCCACCGACCAGGATGAGCTACTCATTCCTACCCACCCTGTGGGAAACAGTATCTGTGCAGGCAAAGGGACATCACAACACATCTAAAGGGGATCTGTTCATCAGTTTAAAGGATATATTAATAATGATCCCACAAGAAATATCTGCAATTTGGATTCAGTATCTGCTTTGGATAAAGACAAGCTGTTTCCAGTATCTGCCCGAGTCAGAGCCATGCAGGCTTAACTCTATGTATAAGATTTCTAGGTTTGTCAGATACGTTTATAAAACACATTCAGCATTGCTAAAGACCATCACAGAAGACAGTCCTATGATGCTCTCCTCTCAAACACCATTACAGAAGTCTTTGGTCTTTTGGAAATTCAGAGGGAGTCAAATTTATTAGCTACTGTAGACAGGGATTTAGCTAAATTTCTGTGACGAAAAGAAACAGGTATTTTTGATATGCAAGTGTTCCTCCTGAGAATCTTCAGTATCATTCATGACTTACACGCAAAAAGAAAACTTACATCTTGCAAGGTAATAAGAGTGAACTAGTCTAAACCCACTTACTCTATGTTGTAGACACTACAGATACAGACCTAAAATTTAGAAGAGCAGTTGAAAATATTAAAACAGAGGCCAATAGACCCAACAACAGATCTGCAACTGCTTTTGTCTTTAGGATTAAACACACACTGAGAAAGTTTAGATTCCCTTCTCCTTAGAGGATAGAGCAGGGGCACAAAGGCACTAAGAGTCCAAAGGGGCTTCATGAAGAATCCAACCTGGAGAATGAACACACCAATGATGGTGTGTGGCCGTTCAACCCTCAAGAGTTGAAAATTACTTTATTTGTCACATATGTAATAAAGTCCTTCATCTAGAGTCTATATAAAGAGAACTGATGGGACACAACATGATAAAGTATCGTATATTTAAACTCTGCAGAACTCCCTAACTGGCACTTCCTTCATTTGCTATTGTGTCATTAGTACAGAGTCAAGCCAAGACACCTCTGGATCACCAAGTGCAGGTACATTGAGAAAGAAGAAACCTTCCCTACCTGGCCAATCCTTCCTCGTACAGATAGATGACAAGTGGATCATAGGATGTAACCAGAACATAGAGGCGCACATCGAATTTGAAATCTGAAATACAGTTGTCAAGAGTCAATGGCTGCAAATATCTTTCAGACATCAGATCCAGCTGAGGAATTTCAACAGACCCCAAGAGCAACAAACTATTATCTGCTGCTGACATAGGTGTCTGAAGCTTTCCCAGTTGAAAAGCTTCTAGACTTTAAAGAACTCTACTTACATTTTTCTGGTACTAGAGGAAGATATACCACTCAATTACTCAACTAAATTCCTGAAGATCCTCAGGTGTGGGGCTGAGGGAGAAGAGAGAAAAGCAATTCCTAAGCACACTCACCATCTATAAGCAGGGGATTGCTGATGTAACGAGAAACCAGGATGTTGTCTTCCAGAACAATCTGGTTTGGCTACAGAGGAACAGAGAATCCAAAGGTGAAAAACAGGAAGCTTTAGAAATAAGATGACTAGATCTAACCCAACATTTTTTCCAGCCTTTCCCTCCTTAAGCCATTCTGTACCAACAAGTATGTCTGGGGAGGGAAGAAAAAAACAAAATTAAAATACACCACTGTCAGTCACAACATACGTAAAGATAATTATATCCTAACCAGAAGCCTGGGAATGATCACACTGCCAAAAAACGTGGCCATTGAACTTTCCAGTTGAGTGCTCCTTAGAGCAGAATACAGATTTAACAGCCACGTGGCAATGATGTAAAAGAGGCAGGGAAAAACCACATCTAAGAAGTGACTGTCATTCTGTTTACTTCTCAGGAGTTTAACCAAACACATGGAGGAGAAGGTATAGAGGACACTGGAAGGAGTATGTAACTACAGTTGGTAAGGAAGTCACAAGCAAAGAAAATAACTCCTCAGCTTGTGATCTTTATAGCTAGACCCTGGGCTGGTATCCAACCTTTCTGCCTCCATGAGTATCTTCTACTGAGGTTCAGTTCACAGCAGTGGCTACTGTACCAGGAAGGCACTACCTTCATAGCTCAGAACAGAAAGTTCTATCTATGACAAATATATCTCGCAAAGTCACGGGATGAAAACATTTTCTTGCCTTCAGTTTGCAAAAGAGCCAAGAGAACCCCGTCATCCTGCCTTTATTCAAGTTTGCATGTATTCAGCCACATCACCAGCAGCATGAGCAGGCAGCTGAGGCACAGAGCGCACACACACGTGAGGGAACAAGCCCCACTTCCCTCAGCACACCACACAACAGTGACAGCCTGTTCTATTACAGATCAGAAAAATTCAAGGTTTATTGGTTTGGGTTTTTTTGGTGTTGGGTTTTTTTTTGGGGGGTGCTTTGTTTGTTTGTTGGGTTGGGTTGTTTTTGGTCAGTGGTGTTTGGTTTGGGGAGTTTTGTTGGGTTTTCTGTTTGTTTGGTTTTGCTTATTGTGGGGTTCCCCACCCTCACTTTTGTGATGAGATTCTAGAAGACACTCCCTTAATGGCATCACACTGAAGAAAACTGAAGTCTTTGGGCCAAACTAGTTGAAGTGTTTCTGGAACTGATATACACAAAGGGAGATTGGTCCCAGAAGGGTCTTTTCTCCAGTTCATGGCTCACTGCCACATAAGCCTGAACTAGTTCCCCTCTTTCAAGCAAAGAAAAAGCTGAGTGCAGCTCTGGAAATACTTACCTCACACACTTGGCAAATTGTTCCCTTATTTTAAGGGAAATGATCCAAGTAGAGAACAGATGAGGCAGCATGACCCCTTCAGTGCAGGGGAAGCTAAAGGAGTTTGAGTGAGTGAAAACAAAATGACTCACCAGTCAGTTTTGCTGCTAAGAACATTTATTGGAATCCCCTCATTTGTTTGGCTCCTGCCCAGATATATTTGTTACCTATGACAACCTAAATCACTGCAAAGCCCAAAAAGGGCAAAACACACTATAACCAGCATGTCAAATTCAAAGAACCATCCCCATTACACCTCACTAAGGGCACACTGGCACTTGGATAGCACAGCTTTAAGGTGGACACAGATACTACTGCATCACATAAGGTTTCATTTTAACTGGTCTTTTGCAGGGAGCAGAAGGAGACAAGGGGACTGTCTGAGGACTGTTTGGGCTGCACAGGAAAACACTCAAAGAGAGTTCTGGGAATATTCCCAAGGCTAGCCTACTGTGAGCCACAAGGAAAGCAAGAAGCAGCACAGCTTCCCCAACTGTCTCATGGAGCATAACGTCCTAATAAGCTAAGACATGAAAACAGGTTTCAAGGACAGCATGCAAAGAAATCCGCTGCTTTTGGTTACATGGCATAGGCCCAGGCAGGCTTTGCCAGCTGCTCAGGACTGTTGGACTGCTCACCAATGTATGGTTGAGATCCAGAGCAAGGCCAGTGTCTGATTAGATGTTTCCCTTGCCTGGAAGCTGGCACAGTTTTGCACACAGTGTTACTGAAGGGCAGTCCTTTTGCTGAACACTTACATTGTTTACCAGGTAGACACCTCGACCCCTGGAAGAGGCCACAGGCTTCACTATCCATAAGCCTTTGTCCTTGGAATAGGTATCTGGTTAAAAGAAAACAGCACAAGTCTGAAACATCTTCCATTTCACATTTTTACAAAGGAGCAAGTGTCAAGAGCATTGGCTACAGTAAAAGCTTTAGATAACTGCATGAGGAGATCAAAATCTACTTTTATGTCTTTGGATGTTTTTACACCTTGGGACTCAGGGTAATTTTTACAGCCTCTCCCTGAAGCCCCTCCTGCTGCTCCAGTAGATTAATTTCTCTGCCCTATGCCTCCTTTCGGCAATTTTTTCTTCAGTACTTGCAGATGTTAGTCAAGGATATTGTGAAGTTGATCATCAAGAGCAACTGTGCACAAAAAAAACCAAACTTCAAGCCCACATTGGCTTCTTGAGGAAGAAGGCATGGACTAGAAGGCAGGGTAGAAATTAAAGAAAGAAATCATGTGGGCCTTTTCCACTGTCTTTCCAGCTTCCTCCAATTTTGTTGCCCTGATCACTGGCATGATCAACAGGTTGTAATATTAAAACTAATTCCCTTCCCCCAATCCAGTTTTTCATTTTAGGTCTGAGCATCATCAGCAATTCACTTACTGCAGAAGTCCTGGTACTCTGTCGGGAGGATAAAGGTCTGAGGTAGGATATGGAATGTCTTGAATCCATGGGCCAGCTGCATACGACTGACATTCTTGTATAGTCTGTCCTTCCGTGTCAGTTCATATGACCTGGAGACCCAAAACAAAAGACTGTATCTCTTTCTTCCCCACATAAAAATACCTCTGAAACACATTACAGCAACCTTTTGCCTTAGCTACTAAAGCATCTGTCAGATGTCCAAACCCTAGCCTGAAACTACTCTTCAGTTTTACTGTCTCTGTCCTATGGCCATATTAATATCCACCTGCATTTGTAGTGCTTCTTGCAGTTCCCAAGACAGACTGAAGCAGAGCAAACTGTTACAATGGTGTTTGCAGACTTCAGCAGGTGACACACGACTATCTCTGTGACTAAAAACTCAAAGTCCCAAATACTTTGCTTATACCACCAAATAAAGAGGGGAAAAAAAAAAAAAAACAAACCACACCACACCAAAACTTCAAAAATCCAATATTTGGGCTACAGATAAGCACTTCAACTCACATACTATCTCCCCAGAAACCTGAAGACCATTTAGAATGAAAACAGCATGTTGCATGGGCCCAGTGCATTGGGACTTTACAGTATCATGTATACTCTTGTTTTTTCAGAGCTAGATATGTTCAGGTTTTTGCAACCCACCACAAAGATGTTCAGCAAAACATGGTATCAAGGCCTTACCTAGGGAAATGATTGACTTTCTGAATATCTGTAAGAGAACGCAGCAAATAGGGCTTCAAGTGTGATCCCGTCCACATGAGATTATAATCACTGCTATTAGGGTGCACCTAAAAAGCAGCATAAAAACAACACACAACGTAAAAATATTGAACTAATGAAAAGCCCCACCACTTGTCCTACAGTTTGTGACCTTACAAAACCAACACAATTTTAATTTAAGACTATTTCCTCTACTTCTGCCCTAACTACTGTACAGCAGTGCTGGGAAGTAACCATGTCATATTTTTCTAAACAAACTTGTGGGTTTGTTAATTTTATAAACTGTTTAAACCAAATTTGTAAAGCATTTTAGATTTCTTCAATAAATTTGTGAGACCTGTTCCTTAATTTGGTGTTACTCAGAAGAAGATCCACCATACACACAGACATCTCAAACTGTCATTAGCTGCACATAGGACATTCTTTAAAGCAAGACAAGTGCTAAAATAGAAACGTGGAATACTACATCAATGCACCATTGAGCTTGCAAAGGCTGAGAGATTAAATTCTCTGGATCTTCCTAAGGATGTGGCATGGCACTTTAAAAACGAGAAAAAGAAAAAAACACACACAAAACACACCACCCACACATGACCCAACTTCAGCATCCATTCCTCTGTAATTTTGCAAACTTAAGGCTAAAGGGTGCTCCTTTGAGAGAGCAAAATTGTGACTTATTTCCTGTATGATTGTTAGAGTATGTAGAAAAAACTTTAAAGGAGTCCACAGCAACTTCCTGGTTTTAACCCTGTAGAGTGAAGAGAGAGAAAAAAAGAAGGAAAAAAAAAAAAAAAAAAAAACAACCACACCCACACACAACCAATACTCCCAAAACCCCAAAATAAAACAAACCCAAATCCCCACCCCCCCAACAAAATAAACCACACACGATCATCACCGTCCCCGCCTGGCAGCCCAGCACCCAATCAGGTCTGCAGTCCCTCGCACCCACCTCATGGAAGCCGTGGGCAGTCAGAATGCTGCGAACCAGCCGGCTGTCCGTCCGCACGATCTTATAGGACAGGCGGTAGCGCTCTGGCCAGGGGGCAAGAGACACAGAGTTACAGCCTGCCCCTGGAAAAACAAACCCGAGCTGCCAAAGAAGAGAGGAGAGCACCACGGGACTCAGCACAACACAGCTGCACTGAGCCCACAGCCCAGCAGCCACCTAACAACCAAAGGTGATAGGAAACACCCACCCAGCTCTGGGGGCATTACAGCCAGTGATGGCAACGAACTGACTTACATCAGTCCTTAGCTATAATACTGCTGCATCACTGAACTCTATTGTATCAAAATAAACCACAGAACATCCTAAGAAATGCCCAGTTTGTTCTGTTTTGGGGTTTTTTTGTTTGTTTGTTTGTTTTTAACTACTCTTAATATAGACTGCTTTATAACACCCCAAACACGATTTCAGCTTTCTTCTCTATTCAAGATTGGCATTCCTAGTTAGAATATGGGCCGTATGCCCCACACTGACATGGCTAACTTATATGATCACTTTTTAGATCTTGATAAACCAAATAAAACACTGAATTTTTCTTCACAGATCATTCCCCTGTACTGATCTTACCATTAAAAAAAACGCAAAGAAATAGTAGGAAATAAAGTAAATAGGACAAGGAAAGAAAAAAAGAAAAATCACAATCCAGGTAGAAAGTCACAAAAACAAAAGCAGTAAGAAGCATTAGAGGTGCAAGATAAACTGAAAGCAAGCAGGAAGACTAAAGGCCAGTTGTCATACAAAAAGATGTGGCAATCCATAAAAGAGTTCAAAGTAGATGCAGAAATCGCAACACTTGTAAAATGCACCTTGCAAATTGTTCCAAACTGAGAACAGAAGGATGAAGATCAAACCTCAGGAAGTATGTTCTACATATAAAAATAAGTCTAAAGAATGAGAAGTATCATAAGCTGGGACTTGAAGAGGCCCAAAAGAAATTAACAAGTTGTATTATTCAGCAGTAGATTTGTTAAACCACAAAAAGCCTCTGTCTCCTGAGGAAAAGCAGAAGAGACCCCACGCTCCAGTTAGGATACAAGTTACAATTGCCATCAGTTTCTGCCACCATTCAAGTATGTTTTTAACTTGCATTAAAAGGTCCACACACAGATCACCTTCTCTAACCCTTAACCCCAATGAGACAGAAGCATTTCTGCTTGGATAGGATATTAGAAATGGGGGCACCAAATACATAAGAAAGGGAGAAGCAAGAGAAAGAACCATCAGCATCTTCATAAAAAGAAGCTGAGTAGACTTTAGTTTTTCTCCAACTCAGCACATCCAGAATGTGCTCCCAGCTGTACGCACCTGCAAGTATTAAGTCTCACAATCGAGAGTGACTCTTTATAACAACTCTGCCTCTTGTTTCGAGGCTCTCCCTTATTTGATGCTGGACGGGCTTGGTCTCCCAACTCACGTGCTGCCTGACCAACAACCATTTTGCTTACGGCCTTACAGTTGTAAGGCTATACAAGCAGATATTCATTACTGCAGCTTAACACTGTTCTTACCACTGTGGGGATGGCTGCTTTACTTCCCAGTGAAACCCTTTCAAAACTCACTGCAATGATTGATTTAAAGATCTTAGCCAGAGAGTACCAAACTTCTGTTTTGGTCCTAAGTTCCAGCATGGCCTCAAAGTTTGATTTGCAAGCAGATGGTTCCAACCCAAAACACATCAGGACACAAGGGAGGGACAAACAGACACCTGTCACAACCCAAAAACATGATAAACATTCACCAGCTGATTAAACTTTCTGAACATCTCAGTGCTCAGATGCAAGAAAGAATTGTAATTTCCTTTCCAACACGTCCTCTTCCCCACCACAACGAGAAGGAAAGATCAGATAAGAGACTTCTGCTGAAAGCTGGCACAGAGCTGCACCCACCTCCGATGAGGCGGAGGTAGCTGTCATTGGTCAGAATGGCCTCAGCATGGAACACCAGGACGGGGACCCGCCTGCAGCCGCCACCAGTCCACCGGATACACGGGTGGTCCCTGAAACAGCAAGACAGGGCAAGCAACTGGTGAGCCTCACACACACAGCAATCACGTACTGTGAGGACACAGCAGTTCTCTAGGCTTGCCCACCTAGTCTGCGGGCAGCACACAGACAAACGCACTGGGAAAGTAACAGAAGATTGGTGAGGACTGTAAACACAGTGAAGTGACCTACAGCTGGGGTGAACAAAATTACACATATCAATGTGAAGCACACAAGGGTGGACAACAAGTGGAACATCTGGGTTCAGAAAACATAGGTGTGTGATAGACTCAGGTGCACCCTCTCAAACATGCTTGAGATTGCTGCCCTGCTGTGGGGAAGATGAAAACATGGTGGTAAACTACGCCTGGCACAAACAGCAGGTTCAGTCATCACCTGCAAGGACCAGGCTCCACAGCACCTGCATCCCCACTTGTGGGCCTCTGCCTGGGTGCTGCTTCAAGGGACACCCACCACCTCAGCTGGCAAGGTACCAAAAATTAATTTACTCTTTCCATTCCTGCCGTGGGTTTGTGGCTGTTCCTTGCGCTCTGCCTGTGCTGACTCAGACACACACTAGGCACTCCTGGTACTCACACATAAAGCTTTGGAGCCTTTTGGATCATCCTCTTTTTGGGTTGGTCTTGCCAGTCTAAGTCAGAGTTCCCTTTAATTTGTATTTATTTTACTGAGTGCAATGTGAGAGAAATTCCATGAATTTTCACAGCTACAGTTCTCTGGATTTATAGCCTGAAAACAGGATCTATAATTCAGGATGAACCATAATAGCTGGTATCAACACAACTAGACCTTATAATGTAGGTTCCAGTCTCCAGTTTAAGAACTGCAAATCAGTGCACACTGCCCGAGTGTAATCCTGGGCTCTGAAGTGCACAAGAAGGCACTCATGCAGACTTTGAGAGATCAAACAAGTTGCCTTTGGCTCAACACAACAGATAAACTTGTGTGTTCTTGCTTTTTTTAATTTCTGCCAGGTGCAGCAGAAGGCAAGCCCAAATTTCAAAAATGATGCTCCCAGACAGCCAGTCAAGCTACTGGTTCTGAGATCCAGTGACCATTTCTGTCTAAACCAACAAGACTACACTGGGAACTACCATCTTCTCAGAGGAATTAAGGACAGACAATACAAAAAAAATAAGATTTGTTATATAAAATCCTAGGATCACAGAAAGAAAACCTGTCAGCCTCCCTAAGCAAATAAAACTCAAGACTGCTTATTACTGCACCAGGAAACGGAACCATGAAAAAGCTGACAGAAAACAGAGACTGAGGGGTTGGAGAGACACATCTCTATCTGCACAGTCAAGAAAACAATATTCTGTGTATCTCTACAAGTCTTTGTCTATAGAATATACAAGATCATTGGCTGCCAAAGGTCTGGAGAAACTACAGAAGACAAGACACTTCCTACACTTGGAACACAGGAACAGACATAAAAGTGAAACTTTTTGATGCTAGGACAACTGAGTATTCTTAAGCGTGACCTTGGTCTTCCTAACCAAACTATCACTACCCAGACAAATTAACTTGACAGCACTCCCATTTGTTTTCACCACTTCTAAAGAATATTTAAAAGTAAAAATCAGCTACTGAGGTGTAATAAGCTGGAAGGGACTGGAGAAGCTTCCAGAATTTACACTACAGGCCAGAGCCTTATATAAGTGGAAAATAAGCTGAGGCAACAGGAGGGGAGTTTATGTTAAGCCTGTCCTGAGGATTTGCAGTAAGGCTCAATCCTCCAGGGGACAGTCATTCATTCCTTCATTCCTAGCAGGCAGACACACGATTATTGACATTGTTACAATTATGTTCTGAGTGAAGGCAGTTCTGGCCCTTTCCATCTGTGAGGGTCTGGCAAGTCTCAGCAACTACTTGGTACAAAGAAACATTCCTCTAAATGCTTTAAGTTACAGCAGTTTGCAACTGGGCACTCAGTGGCAATATGGGCCCAAAAGAAGACAAAACAGGCTGTATTAAAGTCCAGCTGAAAGAGAAAAGGGATACCACTCTGGGAAAGAGAAAGGGAGCAACTCCTTCAGACACAAATATAAAAGAAGTTACAAGACAGACCAAACACAGACTAATAAGTAATGCCTGGAGTTGAGTTCTCACAAGAAGTTATTTTTAGAAGGACATAAAATATTGCATATCAGTCTACTATACAGTAGATTTCCACTCTCTGTAGCAAGGCGAAACCTAAAACAAAATGAAAAACTAAACAAACAAGAACAGACATTAAATTTCCTCAAACATCATCAAGAAAGTTCCCAACTTAGAAAAACAATAGAAAGAAATCAATGAAACTACAGACAGTGTACCCAAAAGAGAGCTGTACCTCCAACCTTGATGAATATAGTGGTCTTTTAGGCTACAAATGTAGGTAGCCTGCTACAGGCTTTGGGCCCAAACCAGCCACCTCCCGCTTCACAGGTAGGAGTAGAGAAAGGAACGCAACTATCTTTTGAGACGAATACAAACCCTGCAGGAAGTCCCCGAAGACCAGAACTGTTAAGAAGGTTTTTTCGTACTTACTCCAGCCCATCTACAACATCTTCCCCCTCCGAGGATGAGCCAGTTTCCTCCAAATCTCGAGCCATTCCAACGGGCATTTCCTCTGGGAGTTTTCATACAGCCCAATCTCAGTACCCTCTGAGACTCCTTCCTGCAGATTCAAGAGATCCTGCAAGAGCAGTTACCTGCAATAAGGATTAAAAGCACGAAGAAGGCATAGCTGACCAGAACAGCAAGAGAAATGAGGTAACTCAACTCCCACCTCCTGTCAATATATATTTCTCACAGGACTACCAAGAAGCTCGTTACAGGCTGTAAATCACCTCCTAGCCAGAAGAGTGTAGGAGGACGCATCATCTTCTAGCAGATTATTCCTCACCTGCCGGGACAGCTGCTCAGGCGCTGGC